ACTTGTTAGATATTAGGATAGCTACGCCTGCTTGTTTCTTATTTCCATTTGATTGGAAAATCTTTTCCCAACCCTTTACCCTGAGGTAATGTCTATCTTTGAAGCTTAGATGTGTTTGTTGTATGCAGCAGAAGGATGGATTCTGTCTTCGTATCCATTCTGTTAGCCTATATCTTTTTATAGTTGAGTTAAGACCATTAATGTTGAGGGTGAGTAAGCACCATTGATTGTTGATGTTTGCTTGATTTAGGTTTGTTTTTGGCAGTGGTATTGTGAATATATTAGTTCTGCTTTACCCTTGGTTTCTGATGTAGTTGGATTATTTTTTGCCTACATTTTTGTGGGCGTAGTTACCTTCCTTGGTTTGGAGCTTTCCTTCCAATAATTTCTGTAGGGCCTGATTTGTAGATACGTATTGGGAAAATCTGGTGTTGTCATTAAATATCTTGCTTTTCCATCTATAGTTATTGAGAGTTTTGCTGGATATAGTAGCCTAGGCTGGCATCAGTGTTCTCTTAATACTTTTAGAATATCTATCCAGGACCTTCTGGCCTTGAGGGTTTCCATGGAGAAGTCAGGTATAATTTTGATAGGTCTGCTTTTATATGTTACCTGTCCTTTTTCCTTCGCTACTCTTAATATTCTTTCTTTATACTGTTTGCTAGGTGTTTTGATTACTAAATGTCAAGGGGTCTTTTTTCTTTGGTCCATCCTATTTGGGGTTTGGTATGCTTCTTATACTTTCTTCCCAGCAAGAACTCAGAGTGATCCTGCAGAGATAGCAGATCTCTGGGAGGGGACCGGTGCTCCAGTATGGTACCTGCAGTGGGGGTCGGGGACCAGACAGGTGGAAATTAGGGGTGGTCCTGCATGGATAGGCAGATTTAGTGTTCTGGTTGCCATTCCTGTAAGTTCCCCCAAGGTATCTAGATTGTTGGCTTCACCCTCTGTTGTGTTATATAACTATATGTTAGCATGAATCCTAAAAATATTAGACACACTGTAGCCACTTAAATAATTGGCCACTAAGCATTTAGACAATGATTTGAAGATAATATACTGGTATGACATCAAATAATATATAAGCCACACACCAAGCAGGCATCAAAACTGGTAACTGATTCACTTTGGTATAAAATTTGTGCTTAAATTTCACACATTTATTTTATCTAAGGATATATTTTGCTTTATTATTTCTAATAATGAAATATTGAGTGTACTTTTCATATAATCAATTAAGGAAATTGATACATCTTGTGTTGCTCTGTTTTTATCCTTGTTACTACATTGATTTAAGTCTTAAGTATATTTTGAACTTGACCATTCTTTCTTATGCCAATGCAAACTGACTATTTTATACTTTTCCCTAAACGGGTGCATTTCCTTTCCATTTTATTAAATTGCTTAGTTTTCCTTTCTTACCTTTTATCTATTTTTCCATTAAAATAGAAAAATCATTTCCCAAAATACAGATTTCATTTTTATCCAATGCCAATCCTAAGTCTTAGAAATAAGTTACATATCTTTTAGTCTGGGCACTGTGTATCTATCTTTCTTGAGTCCTTTCTAACTTATCCAGCTATCATTCTTCCTAGGTTGTACTCACAGTGTTACTTGAAATTGCGACTTTTATGATTGCCAAATTATCATTCATTCTCGAAGGCAATCTAAGTAGCTAAAAAATCCTGTTTCTTTTTTTAAAACTATTTTTGTTTTTTCTATGATTTTTCTATTACAAAATATGTTGAATTTTTGTTGTTTTCATTTATTCTTTGATTCTGAGAGGCTGGAGACAGAAAATTTATTTTAGTATTGTAACAAAATTCATAATAATATACTCTTTGGATTGTCTATGTCTTTGGACTGATGTTCATAAAGGTCTTTTGTTTACTCGATGATTTCATCAACTTGTAAGGAAGATATTATAGGTAGATAGCAGTGTCTGTATTCAAAAAATTGTCTAAGTTATTGTAAATGTTTTGTTATTCAATAAAACAACGAACTACTAACATAGCTATGTTCTGTCCACACTTGTGGCTATAATTCTAATATCCAAGAGTACAAAGGTAATGAGCAACGACATTCAAATTCAGGATTTAAGAGATCATGTATGCAATTTGTTGTCGGACACTTACTAAAGAAAAAGTTCTTTTCCAACCTTTTAATTTCCACTATCACATAAAATATATTTATTAAATATACAGACATATAAATACCAAGGAAAAATATATCAATTTTGTTATATGTTCATTTGTTCCTAATTATTCCCAAAAATCTGCGGTTTTCTAAATTTTCTAAATTTTAACCATGATTTAGGATTCACCAATAAAAATATAAGACCTTGACTTATATTTTCAGTTATAGAGAATCCATCAGTAAAGGATTGACGTTTGACACATTATTGAGATATTAAACCAAATGTTCATGTATATGCAAACACGGCTATTTATTTCTTTATTTCTTTATTGTTTACTTTTTATTTTTATTTTACATATCGAACCCAGGTTCCTCTCCCTCCCCCCTCTTTCCCTCTCACCCAACTTTCCATGCCCCCAGCCATCCTACCCTCCCACCCCCCTCCATTCCACATGTAGGATGATGCCTTCCAGGAGGAGTCATTTAAATCTGTCAAGTCATTTGTAGTAGGAACTAGGCCTTCCATCCTACCTCTAGGTTAAGGGAGTATCCCATTTCTTTTTTAAATGTAATTTCTCTATTGATTATTTGGGAGTTTCACATCATGCTCCCCAATACCTCTCTCCACTTGTTCCCCCATAACGAGAATTTTTCTCATTGAACTGTCAGGAGTTTGGAGTACAGATTGCACTCAATAGGAATCATGTCAATTTCAAAGTGATAAAAAAAAACAGTAGCCATAATATATACAGACAATAAATGGGCTGAGAGAAAAACATCACCCTTTACAATAGCCATAACATAAAATATCTTGGGGGTGTAACACTAACTAGACAGGTGAAAGACTTGTATAGCAAGAACTTTGAGACTTTAAAGAGAGAAATTAAAGAAGATACCAGAAAATGGAAAGATCTCCCATGTTCTTGGACAGGTAAGACCAACATAGTAAAAATGGAAATCTTGTCAAAAGTCATTTACAGATTCAATGCAATTCTAATCAATCTACCAGCACAATTCTACACAGACCTTGAAAGAATAATACTCAACATTATATGGAAAAACTAAAGACCAAGGATAGCCCAAACAACCTTGTATAATAAAGGAACTTCTGGAGTCATTGTATTCTCTGATTTCAAATCCTATTATAGAGCTATAGTCCTGAAAACAGCTTGGTACTGGCACACAAATAGACAAGTGTACCAGTGGAATCGAATTGAAAGTCCTGCTATTAACCCTTACATCTATGAACACCTGCTTTTTGACAAAGAAGCTAAAATTATACAACAGAAAAATGAAATCATCTTCAACAAATGGTGCTGGCATAACTAGATGCTGGCATGTAGATGACTGCAGATAGATCCATATCTATCGCCATGCACAAACCTTAGATCCAAATGTATCAAAGACCTCAACATAAATCCAGACACACTGAACCTCTTAGAAGAGAAAGTGGCAGGTAACCTTGAACAAATTGGTACAGGAGATCACTTCCTGAACATAACGCCAGTAACACAGACACTGAAATCAACAATTAATAAATGGCATTGCACACAAAGGGAAAAGATATTCACCAACCCCAAATTTGACACAGGGCTGATTTAAAAAAATATACAAAGAACTAAGGAAGCTAGTCAACAAAACACAAAATAATACAATAAATAAGTGGGGTACAAAACTAAATAGAGAATTCTCAATAGAAGAATATAAAATGGCTGAAAGACGCTTAAGAAATTGTTCAACATCCTTAGCTACCAGGGAAATGCAAATCAAAACTACTCTGATATACCATCTTGCTCCTGTCAGAATGGCCAAAATGAAAAACACCAATGACAGTTTATATTGGAGAGGATGTGAAGAATGGGGAACAGTCCACCATTACTGGTCAGAGTGCAGACTCATACAACTACTTTGGAATCAGTATGGCAGTTTCTCAGGATAATGGGAATCAGTCTATCACAGGATCCAGCAATTCCACCCGTAAGCATATTCCAAAGAATTCACATTCATACCACAAGGAGATCTGTTCAATTATGTTCACAACATCATTATTTATTTTTAATAGCCATAATCAGGAAGCAACATTGATGCTCGTCAACTGAAGAACGGATATAGAAAATGTGGTAAACCAGGAATACATCCTTGTTCCGCTGTCTGAGATCCCTTAGGCTGCTCAGTCCTTCTAGCTGAGACCCATATTCAGGGGATTTGAGTCAGTCCCATGCTGGATTCCCAGCTATCAGTCTGGGGGGTCGTTTAGCTCCTCCTGTTCAGGTCAGCCTGTTCTTTGCCTCCCTCTCTGAGTCTGGAATCCATTTGGCGCAGTGTTTAGTTGTGGGTGTTTGCTTCTGTTTCAATCAGCTACTAGTTTATTTCTTGCTTTTGTTCCATACTCACCAATAAATTCTCCACTTTTCCAGTCTAAAATTGCTATAAGAACTACATGGCATAATTCTTATCCCATCACTGCACCTAATAGGAGAGTTGACCCCCTTCTACCTCTCTCTTTTGCTTGCCAGTTCTATCACGAACCTATGCCTGAATTTTTTTTCTGCCCTAAATCTTACTTTATTCTTTCCAATTTTCTACACAAAAATACTATCTATTAAATACTGTTTAAATTTAATCTAGATATAATTTTATAGAAAATGAATATAGTGTATATCTGTTTTTATAAGAACAATTGTTTAGTTGGTGAACAATAGACAATCCGTTGAAATAAGCCAACAAAAATGCACTAAACAATGGAGGTTTTCTATTTTATTTTCATTTATTTATTTATTTTCCTGAAGAAGTAAAACACTATGCATTGGCACCATTTACTTCCCTTTCCCAGTATGTCACATATAAATTCTGCTTTGTTACAGGAACTCCACATACTGTATGAAAGTATCCATCTCACTGACAGTAGGAGAAAATGACACTGGACTCTGCTACAATTCCAAGATGAAGTATTTTGAAAAAGCTGAACTTAGTAAAAGCAAGGAAATTTCATGTCGAGACATAGAGGACTTTTTAGTACCCACCAGGGAACCTGAAATCCTTTGGTACAAGGTATGAACTCTGGTTTATTTTATTGTGTACAAATAATCCAATGTGCCTCTTATTCTAGAGAAATGGATAAAAGATTAACTAAGATACAAGTCATGTCTTATAGAGTGTTATAACAATTTGTGTTGGTCATTATAGAATTTTATAAGGTTTTATTTATTTATATTATGTGTGTGTTACATGAATGTATTCTGTGTATTATGGTAATGCTGAACCTGTAGAGGCAATTAAAGAACATTAAATCCCTTTGGATTGTAGTTGTAGATGGCTGTGAGTGGCCATGTGAGTGTTAGGAATTGGACCCAGACCATCTGAAAGATCAGACAGTAATCTTAACTGTCTAATCATCTCTACAACCCCTACTCAATATAAGTTTTAAAAAACCTTATTCTTTGATAAACAAAATATATATTAATATTTGTACAGTTGAGCTACTGTATAAGCTGTCATGTTTGTATTTAAATCTTGCTGTATCAACAACTGTTTCATAAATTTGAAAAGTGAATTAGGTTGAATAATTATTTCTGGGCTTAGCATTCCAGCATATCCCAAGGCAAGAAAGAAATAGTTATTTTCTTCTGTGATATATTGGTGCCCTGATATTAATGAGATATTATATTCAATTCCCATATAATTGCCTGTACTATATTAATTTTCATATATAAATATCTATACTATAAAACAGATGTTACAATAGTAGTATTTCCTTCAAAAATTATCATCACATTATTTTATTTAGACACCAACTTATTATTATTCATTGTTAATCAAAAACTGCTTATGATTTTAAGCTTATTTATACAACCCAAAAGTATGTTTTTGTTTGGTATATACTAAAAGGTGAGCAAAGAATTTGTGAATACTCATGTGGAACAGTTTGCTCACAGATAAAATCTCCTAACTTAACATTTTCTCTGTCTAATTGGACTTTAAGAAATCGGGCCTCATACTGCCTAGTGTATGCCTGTCAGAATCCTTGTAATTTATTGCCCAAAAAAATAGAAAAAATAACTATTAAAAATAAAACAAGAAACCAGAACAAGTTCGAAAACATTTCATCAAAATTAGCAGAATTCTTCTCAAAAAATTAACTTTGATTCTGGATAAGCAATGGAAACTCAGAACATAAAGGGAACAATTGAAAGTCACTTTTCAACACTTGTGGTTTTCTGTTCTGAACAACAATGTCAAACATCACTAAATTATTTGTTCCATGGGTTTTGTTCCTATTGGAATGAGTTTTGCTGTTTCAATTTTGATAACTGAATAAATTTCATTTGTGACATTCTGTGTTCCACAGGTAATCTTTAAGAATATGATGACACTGAAGTTTTCTGAAACCATGTTTTTTCTAGCAGTTGTGTATGAACATTATAGGCTTGAAGGTTTTTTTGCTTTTCAGAAATAAGTTGATTTTGAGGTAGATATTTTTCCTTATAATTTGACGTGAACATCTTAAGTTTCTCTGAAATATGAGAGTAAACATACATACATGTGTACCTCTCAGTTAAAATTAATTCTATAATCTCAATTTAAATTATGGTTTCCTGATTAGATTATATTCATTCATGTTAGACAGGCATTCACAATTGTAATAGTCATTTAAGGTATAAAAAGCATCATCATAGAGTGGTAGGCAGTGATGCAGCATATGTTATGTCACAATTTAATTTTTTTTAGTCAATCCTTAACCTCTGCAACATAAATAATGGGCATCATAAGATATAATACCTTAATAGAAATTTATAACTGTTCATGCAGCTAATATTAGAAAATAATGTGCATATTTTTGTTTCAAAATAACTGAAAACTATATAAATAATTTCACAGAGACACTCATTCACATATATTATGGACCTTAAAAATTGGACTTGGCACTAAGTAGTTTTATTTGTCTATAGTTTCAAAAGATTTAAAGATTTTGTTTTGTCCTCATTCTATTAGTTTAAATACTAGTATGATAATATGGATTAATGTTATGGGAAAAACAGAAATCTCTTAACCCTATAACCTTACCATCAAGTAGACCATAATGAAGCATGTCTAGTAATAATGAGAATACATGTTTGTGGTGTGTGGCAAATTAAGAGCCCTCATTCATTACCAATGGGAGTATAATCTAGTATAGTTTTTAGGAAATAATTATAGATACTTTTCAAAATATTAAAAATAGAACTTCTATATGGCAGAACCATGTCACACTTGGGATAGACCTATAAAAACCTATATCCTACCATAAGATATATATGTATCCATTTATTGCTGCATTTTCACAACAGTAAGGAAATGGATCAAGTATAGATGTCCATCAAAATAATAAATGGATAAAGATGGATGAAGTTTTGATAAAGAATAAAGAAAAAGGCAAGAAAATAGACAGATCCAAAAAGTATTATGTTAAAAAGAAGTTATCCAGTCTCAGAAACAAACAAAAAACAAGTTTTCTCATATATGGAGATTCTGTGGCTGTTTATGTACATGTAAATAAGAGGTTATGCAAGTGAGAATAGGTTTCATTTTTAATAACTGCAACAATTATATTTTGATAATTTATTGGAATGGAAACATTTATTATAAAACTATTTCCCAGTGTTTATTTAATAATACATTTTAAATTTTAGGTAATGAATACTAATAGAGTCAAGTTCACAATAATCCTTTAGGAATTATTTGCTTTTAAATTTTATATTGAGTGTGGTTACACATCTACTACCTAACTACTACAATGAACAAATTAATGCGACTCTAAAACTACTCTTCAAGGTGATGTTCATAATTTACAAATTTGGGGAGAAAAGAATGTAATTTCTTAGTATTAATCCCAAATATTTAGCTACTGTAAAATCCTAATATATAAATCATTGTTATACATCAGAAATTGTACTATATGCATATAGTACAATCCTACCATAGGGCAGGTTGTTCAGGACTTAAAGACTAATCTCAGTTACATAGCAAGTTCAAGTCCAGTTTGGTCTATAGGAGACCTTGTATGTTTTTTTTCTTGTATGTTTTTATGAAACCAAAAGTATTGTTTTTATGGTTTAAAATAACTTCTTTACTTATCATGTGTACTACCTGATTTTATGTTCTTTGTGTAGGAATGCAGGACAAAAACATGGAGACCAAGTATTGTGTTCAAAAAAGATACTTTACTCATAAAAGAAGTCAAAGAAGATGACATTGGAAACTATACCTGTGAATTAAAATATGGCGGCTTTGTTGTGAGAAGAACCACCGAGTTAACTGTTACAGGTAATCACAATCAGTATTTCATTTGCAAGTAAAAAAAAAAAAAAAAAAAAAAAAAAACAAAAAAAAAAAAAAAAAACGCCTTTTGAGTCAGATTCAGGGCTGCACATTGAAGTTTTTCAACTAGGGAAATGAAAGAAGCACTCAACCAAATGCTAAGTGGATTCCTATAGGTGAAATTTATTCCTGCTTGTTTTTAAATAATTTTGTGCTGAAATACATTTGAAAGGTTAAATAGAATGTTTGAGGAATTATACAAATGTTAGCTTTTGAAAGTACTTGAAATAATGAGTTTACAATTTTTGAAGATTATGCTTGTACTTTGTAGTGGAATCATTTTTAGAAACATTTTCAAGAGTAATGGGATGAAATACATGACGTCTATCTCTGTATTTATGTCTTGCTGAAAATTAGGCAAAATATTTTTTTTCTATTTAACATATTTATTATTATACAGATGACATATATGATATCATAGGCCAAAAAAAAAACGATTTCAGACAAACTCATTTAAAAATGTAATATTTTGTTTTAAGAATCACAGAGTAACCCTCATATCATGTTAATGCTGAATGTAATCAAAATAGCATCAGAGTACTACTTATTAAAAACAATGTACAATTCATAAGTCTAACAATCTTTGTTGAATTAGTGTAATCCCCAGAATGTTAGTTTATTAATATATATAAAAAGATGAAGATGAAATTTGCCTTATAGGGGATTTGCAAACATCAAATGATTAAGGTGATATGTATAAAAAAAATTGCAATGAGAAAATCCAAATGTTCAGCAATTTAGTTATGCAAAATATGTAATCATGATCATATTTTATATACAACAATAATCAGTTATCTAAAAGTTCCTCATGGAAAGCAGAAGAGGAGCTGGAAACAACAACAACAACCAAAAAAAACAAACAAAAAGGTAAATTACAGATATTTGCATATTTTTATTGAATGAGGCTCTTGATGACTTTGTGGGGTAATATTTGTAAAACATTTTCAGAACAGCATAACATTAACTAAATTCATACATTCAGTAATGCTTGCAAAATCATTTTCTTCTACGTGAAACAAATATCTTTTTATGTGTACATGTATCCATGCATCATATAAGAATCCATTTCTTTAAATCTTGAAGTATGATATAATGTAACTCAAACTACATTGTTTCATGGGTCTCATTTGCTAAATGAAAATTATTCTAACAGATGGAAAATTCTTTACATGTGATGCACTTTGGTAAAGCCTTTGATAAATATAAGAAAGAGTAAGCAACTAAACTGAAATTCATGATAGACTTGAATATTCAATACACATTTACTCTCTGGTGTATATTTTATACCCATCATAGGTGTATATATGATTTGCAATCATTTGGTTGTAGTTTGGGTGTGTGTAATAGATTAGTATAAAGAAAAATTCAGAGAAGCACCTTATCACCTTTATTCCCAGTGTTTTAAACAACTCAGTGAAAAATATGCCAGTGTGCACAATAAATATTGAAAATTTTCTGTTCAATTTTTAGCTTACAAAGTCTACCTACTGAGGAAGCTTTTTGAAACAATGGGTATTTTGAAAAAGGAACTTAAAATATGAATCAAAGTGTTATGCTGAATGATGATAGTATTTCTTTTCTTACCTATTTAGAAAGGAAAATATATCCATGATAAACATAATTTTCTTTCTCTAGAAACACTAAGATTTATAAATACAATCCATTATGAAGTGACTGATAAAAAACTTACATAAGACCATTTGGTAAACCTAAGAGTAGAAATTTTACTCATATTATCTCACAATTCTCTATATTTCTGTATTTGTTTAAATGTACCATTTTCTTCATGTGGAAATGAAGAATACTTAAGTCAATTATATTAAAAATGGTCTCACTGTGATAAATCTATGCATTCCTATATTAAGTATTCATGAACAAACTTTCTTATATTCTACTCTTTATCTAGTATGCCTTGTTTAGCTGATGTCCCATGGAGACCTGCCTTTTTATTAAGGGAAACATAGGAGAGTGAATGTGTGAGAGTGGACGTAAGAGGAGGAGGCTGGGAAGAGAGTACCAAATTAAGCATGAATATACATAGATATCTCTTTTATATGATGACTTTGTCTCCTTTGTTCATATAGTGTGAATTCTACTATAGTTTTTTTTTTTTTGTTCTGTTCTGTTTTAGCAACCTTCATACAAATTGCTACATAGGTATTCCCCTTTCCTCATATTCAAACCATAATTTGTTTTCCTCATCTTGTCTTACTCATTCTGACTGGTGTAAACTAGCATCACAATGTAACTTAAATTTGCATTTCCATGAAACCTAAAGTTACTGAATATCTAAAAGGTATTTCTCAGCCATGTGTCTTTACTTCATGGAGAAGCATCTGCTCCAATTAAAAGTATTTCTTTCACTTTTTAATAATTACATGGTTTCCCTTTTTATTTCTCCCTTCGAAGCCCTTATATAGTCTTCCTTTCTTTCAAATCTGCAACCTCATTTTTATTAAGCAATTCTTTTTCTAGGTTTGAAAATTTTTCTTTTATATAATTGAAAATGTTCTATACACCTTTGCTATCCTCTCCTTCACCCATCCCCATGATTTGAAAGTTAAATCTTTCTACAAAAACCAACATGTCTTTTGTTAACACAGAAAAAACAACCGCCATTTTCTTTCCTTAATTTTTGCATATTCTACTACATTTAAAAAGTTATTACAAAGGCTTTTGTTTTGCTTTGAGATTTTTTACATAGTTTTTTATGGGATCAGTTAGGTAACAAGTTTTGAATTCTAATAATAAACCTAAGATTCCAAAACAGTTTATGATACTAGATAAGTAATTTACTCACTATGCACAGAATATCTTCTCTACAATACATACATGTAGACAATTATAATTTTAGGTTTGTGAACATTTTTCAAAATAGAGTATACTAAGTCTATTGGGATGAAAGTTGTCTGCCCCCAAATAATCAAATTGTAGTGCCTAGGGTCTGCTTTTTGGCAGTTAGATACTTGTTATTTGGGGAAATTATCTTCCAGTATGTGTTCAACTGAGGCAAACTTTACATTTTAATATTATTCTAGTATATTATACAGTTACTGGTCAATATATTACAGATTATTTTTTCCACTATATATAGGAATGTGTATAACAAATATTATATAAATTTAATTATATTTGATTGTATATTGAATTTTACAATTATGAAGCATGATCATAGTACACTTCAAAATAATAATGTCATAGTGTAAAGATTCACTAGATTGTTTCCAGTAGACATTTACCAAATCAATTATTCTTCTCTCCAATTATCCAGAATAATATTTTTGCCTACCTACTCTAATGGTTTGATAAATAACTTTTGAACACACCAGCAAGGCAAAAGGTAAACAGAGGTAGGCCTTCTAAGGTGGATGATAAGGAAAAGTGGAATGATCTGATTAAAGAAGTAAACTGTGCTGTAATAAACATAAACAAGACTTGCCAACAATGTCTTAAGTATACTGAATCTTAAAAGACAATTTTGCAAAGCTTGATATTGGACCATAACTTTTCCCATACAGTCATCTTGCTACAGGACCAAATGAAGTACAACTCAGACTGTCTTCCTTGACATTCAGTCATCCTAGTTTGCAAGAACTTGTAATGGATCTGTTACACACAATTTATTTCAAAAACGCTCCTATTTGGAGATTAGTTTGACAAGTACAAAGTTGAATTTCCTTTATTTTGTCCTAAAATTCATCCTTTCAAAATTGAAGGCACTTCAATTATTTCTTGTAATTTCTGACAATTCTATTATCATTTCAGACCAGAGTCAAAACACTCAGTAATACCTTCTACACACCCCTTGGCCACTTGTATTGTTTTTCTTTATTTAGTTTTTATTCCACTTTTATCTCTTTCTTGAAGCTTAACAAAGCTTAACAAACAGCACTGAATTGAGTTTTCAAGCTGCTGATTGGTCTACCATTGTGAGTTTGCTTTTAATATGCTGTGGTCTTTCATTCAGTTTACTATTTCTCAGACTGATTAAAAGACTGTTTCTTGATATCTTTAGTTTTTACAGCCTCTTCTTATCATGAAGAGCTGTGTATATTCCATAATTCCTTGTCTTTCATTTGCTTTCTGTATTCCCCCATTTGGCAGTGTGACTGTGTTTTAACTCAGTTCCCAAATCAACTTTGTATTCAAATTCTATAAAGCATCTTTAGCATCACAAACCTACTATTTAACATAAGGAAATATACTTGAACATCAGGAATAGGGATCATGTGGGATATACATCACCTGTAAGACCACAATTTCAAAATTCCCACCATTAATCTTCAGACATGGCATTGTCAGACAGGTTCTTAAGAACAGGGAAGTGTTGGTGGTGAGGGCCAGCAGGTCAAAAGTAATTGGACATGACAGAAGCAGTGCTAGCATTGCTAATAGGTACAGAAAACTGTGCTCAGATGCAGAGTTGGCCCACATTCTCACTGTGTGTCTCTCTCTAGACAAAATACTATATATATTTTTTAATTTGTATTTTGGATGTTTGTGTATTATGCTTGCATTTATGTCTATAAATTGCATGAGCTTCTGGTACTCAAGAAGGCCTAAAAAGGACATTAGATATCTGGGAACTGTAGTTTCAGATGGTTGTGAGTCACTGAGTCATTGCTGAGAACTTTAATTTAGTCCCCTGCAGTAGCAACAAGTGCTCTTGACTCTAGCCCACATACATTCATTTTTATTAATATGTCTGTCCAAAACATTTTAAAGATTTTAAAGGAAGAACTTAAACAAAATGATAGACAATAATCTGTAATATGCTTTAAGACCAGTTTAAGCCAGGTCATTTCTAGGACTAGAAACAACAATAAGAGAAAAATTAGGAAAATGGTCTGTCTTGAAAAACTTTCCACACTAAATGTGACACTTAAGCAAATTAGTCAGTAGCTAAGAACAGAAAACTTCACAGGAAAAATAAAACAAAAAGAATG